CAGCACAGGCTCCTGGCCACTGCTCTATCTGGGGGTCCCATTGCCCCCGGTGGTGCCTGTCATCCATCCTCTGACATCCTCTGCACCCCTTACCACGAGAAAGTGCATGGCCGTCCCCCGATGGTCACGGAGACGTTGCTGCCGGCGTTGAGGTGGCTGCCCTCGATGGCGATCCAGGTGCCACCAGAGAGGGGGCCCCGGGCTGGAGGCTCCTGGCCACTGCTCTATCTGGGGGTCCCATTGCCCCCGGTGGTGCCTGTCATCCATCCTCTGACATCCTCTGCACCCCTTACCACGAGAAAGTGCATGGCCGTCCCCCGATGGTCACGGAGACGTTGCTGCCGGCGTTGAGGTGGCTGCCCTCGATGGCGATCCAGGTGCCACCAGAGAGGGGGCCCCGGGCTGGGACCACGCGGGAGAAAGTGGGCGTCTGCCAAGGAAAAGAGCATCCCTGGAGTCAGACAGGTTGAGGACCAAAACCCGCATCCCCAAGCAGGTGGAGGGGACGCAGACGGACCCATGGGATATCCCAAACCAGCCGGGAGCAGCCCTGTCCCCAGCACGGGGCTTACCACGAAGGTGAAGCTCTTGGGGGACGTGGCACGGTAGCTGGGCGAGCAGTCGCGGATGCACACCTCCACCCGCGCCTCGTGCACCTTGCCCAGGCTGGCATCTCCGATTTCACACACGATCCTAAGGGATGCAGGGAAGGAGCCCTCAGTGCCACAGCACCGAGACGCTCCCTATGTCACGGTGGGGATGGATCAGCTTCAGAAAGGGGCAGATCTGGCACCAAGAAAAGGTCCCCGCTATCAGCAGCATTCATGAGAAACCAAGGTGGTGGCTGGTGGCACTGCCAGCCCCAGTGGGAGCTTCCTCAAAGTCTCTGGGCTCCTCCCAGAGCGACCACAACCAGCAAGTACTTCTCTCCCAGTTTAGCCCAGTCAGCCCCATGCCATGGGCAGTGTTTGAGCACCCTGAAGCCCATGTACCGAGGTGCCCACCCCTCGCCGGGCACTCACTGCTCAGCGCTGATGTACTCGCTCTCGATGGGGATGCACATCACTTTGCCGACCCGAACGCCCCAGCGAACATCATCAAACTTCAGGCCCAGGTTCTCTCCGGTGATGGTCAGACGGGTCCCTCCTTGCCTGGGGCCGGTCTCTGGTGACAGCTAGGAGAGAGCATGGCCTGTCAGCTGGGGGACATGGGGACACAGGCTGCAGCTGCAGGATGTGTGTTACTCCCCCGTGAGTGGTGAGAACAGATGGGTTACGATAAATGCCAGCACGTCTGTAAGGAGCACGCAGAGTGGGAAAGACCTCCTCAAATAACAGCCACGTCCACAAATTCCCCCAGGAACAAGCCACGAGGTGCCAGATGTGTCTGAGCAGAGGAGATGGAGATGCCTTGCAGGTGACAAGGACACAGACGGGAAGGAGATGGGGCAGCATCAGCCACAGCTTCCACAGTGCTGGCGAGAAAGTACATGGATCTGCCTGGTTTTTGGCCAGGTCCCATGTATCCAGGGATGAGCTCCCTGCATCCAAGATGCTTTCAAAGGAGAAAGCATCTCCACCAGGTCTCTGTGCACATCAGGTGGAAGGGCTCTTCTCCACCAGCAAACCCAGTGCCAAGGTCAGCTGGGAAGGGAGGTGACCTCACCCCAGTATCACACCTCATTTACCAGGATGATGCCCAAAAAATTGGGCAGGTGTGGCCTGACAGGCAGCGGTGGGATGAGGGATGAACACAGAGGTACCAAGCAACCACAGGCAGTTTTACACCACAGTGCTCACCAGCCCCCGGGGCCCAGCGCACACCTGCAGCTCTAACTGGGATGAATGGCAGAGCTGTGTGCCCTGGCTGGGACAGGGGACGGGGCTGGTACCCAGTACAACCTGGCTGAGGAAAAGTGACTGTTGTCGCAGGTGATGCCCGCCTCTGCTCTTGCTCCTGGTGCTAAGGGGGATCCCTGCCAGCACCAAGCCCAGCGCCTGGACGGTCTCACGCTTCAGCCATGCTAATGCCACGACCAAGCATGTGTGAGTCTTCCCCCGAAACCAAGCTCCACTGGGGCGGCTGGCAGAAGTGGCTGCTTGTTTGGTGTTTCTAAATGAGTGTTAAAAGCCGCTCCAGCGTGTTCAACTCCTACTCCATGATAAAGCTGACAAGGGCCACGCGTTTGGGGAGAAACGAGCCTGGGAATGAAATGACACCAGCGGCTGCCCAGTATGGGGAGGTCACAGCTAAACAAGGTGTGTGGCAGGAGAAATCCCTGTAGGACACCCTTTCCTTTTGGGAGTGCCTCCCTCTCTCCCCGTGGTGCCACACAGCAGCACCAGGATCCTGCGAGACACAAGCAGCGAAGGGAAAAGACTTATTTCCAGCTTCCATCAGATAAAACACAAAGCCAAACAGATCAGATCCTTCGCTAAGACTCTGGTAATTAACACCAGCCAGGTGTGGGTAAACAAGGGATCCAGCAGAAATATCCACTCGTCCCTCCTTGTGCACTTGGAGCCTGGCCCGGCAGGAGTGTGACCATCAATATACACAATCTTATTAAGCGAAGGCGATAGAAGTTGTCAGGGAAGGGGGATGATGACGAACTACTGGCCCCAGCAAGCATGGTGACATGAGGAGGAACAACCTGGAGCCGCAGCTTTCCCGAGATCCTCCTGTAGGAATCTCAGAGATGGGCCAGAAAGCCCAGTGCATGGGTGTGGCAGAGAGGATTTCAGCCTTGGAAATGAAAACAGTGGCAAGAGACACTCAGTCCTAAACTCTGGGTAGATGTGGCTGCTGCGAGGTACCACTGGCCCCATCCCCACCTTCCATCTCCCAACCTCGGGACATCGCTGCCCGCCCGTCCCCGCGTACCTTGGTGATCTTGGGGTCGGTGCAGCGGCTGTTGCCGCTGGAGGCGTGCATCCAGCTGCTCTCATAGGCCAGGCAGTGCTGCCGCAGCGAGCAGCGCCGTTCCGCCACGCACCAGCCGCACTCGAAGCGCGGGTCGGCCTTCAGGCACAGCCCGCAGCTCTCCCGCAGCGCCGAGCACTTGTACAGGTGGGCTGCAAGGACAGGAGAAGCGTGGGGGTCAGCACAGCCCCCCAGGCCTGCAGGCACTGGGCTGCTCTCCCACCCCATGCTCCATCCCTCACTCACCCTGGATGTTCTGGGGGTTGTCGATGACGAAGTTCCCGTTCCAGACCACGGACAGGTTGACCGGCAGGTCACTGATGTCGTTCCCTTCGTAGAAATACTGCAAAAGGGGACAGGAGGCACAACACATTAACTCTGGAAGTGAAATGCCCCAGCCAGGAGCATGGAGAGGAGTGTGACCCCAGTATGTGGATGGCTCCCATTAACCCAGAGGAGAGGGATGGGGCTCTGGTTTGGACACCCTGGTTAGGAGCAGACGGGTCTAACAGCCACTGGTCGGAGCATTGGACACAGCACATGCAAACCGGTACAACCAGACAGGCAACAAGAGATAAACAAGCAAAACAGAGGGCTTCTAAAGAAACCCAAACCCCATTAACCCAGAGGTCTGAACCTCCTGCTGCTGAGAGGGAAGGAAACAGATGCACACATGTACCTCTCCTCACCAGGCACCCCAGCCCTCCCCACTCCAGCGATGCTTGGCTGGATATTTGGGATCATCACTGAGACTCATGGTTCCTTCACGAGATCCCAAACTCAGGTGCCAGGACCCACTGCTGTCCAGACACAACCACGTCCATTGCTTCCTGCAGCCTGGCCAGCGTCTCCTCCCCTCCCAAACATCTCTCCCCTGCCTCAACACCCAAGCCCCAGCCGCCACATCAGTATTCCCTGCACAGCCCCTGCACACAGGCGGAGAGGTTTAATCGATACGGAGGCAGGAAGGCAGTCGGAACCGTCCCTGACAGCTAATGACCTCCTTCGGCAAGAGATTCCCCGCTCCTCGCCCGAGAAAATGACAGGCGTGTCAGGAGAGATTAAATGAATGATTCATGGGTTGCTGGAGTTCGTTAGGGAGCGGTGGACACGCTGGCAGCGGCTCGCCCGGCCCTGCCACCACCTCCAGCCCCTGCCACCACCTCCAGCCGGCCCCAGCGTCACCTTTGGCAGCCCTGGTACCGTACCCGGAGGAGGTGGCCCCAGCACCTCCTCCAGCACCGCCCCAGCTGCTGCCCCACACAGCACATTTGGTGCTGGGGACCATCCTGGCGAGTCTGCTCTGCTTCACCCTCTCCATGAGAGGCCCAGACATGGCCCAGGAGAGAAGTCAGGACACTCAGGTGGCTGTGGAAAGCAAGAGACGCTTGGGTTCTTCTGGCCTCACTGCTGGTCCTTCCCATGTCCAGCCTCTCCCAGCATCGCCAGCTGCAATCCAGCATCAGACATGGCACCAAAATGGGGCCAATATGAGACATCAACGCACCCCTCCCTTGACCCTTCAATCCCACAAGGTGTCAATGAGAGGTTAAGCCTGGTCCTGTGTTACACCTCCACAGATTTGGGCACCCAGGGGCCACCCCACCCAAACACAGGGCAGGAAGGCTGCTGCTCATCAACCGGACACAGCAGCTGGAAGGCACGAGACAGCCAACTGCAAACTCACTGAATGGTTTGGGTTGGAAGGGACCTTCAAGATCATTCAACCCTTTCTTGAGTGCCCAACAGCTTCTCCACCATCTCTCCTCTCCTGGAAGAGCCTCACCATCTCCCATGCAGCCTCTCGGACACAGCACCTCTCATGGTGTTTGCTCAGAGGACCTCCAGCCACATCTCCACCACGCACCATCCACAACCACAGCCTCCCAGCAACATCTCCATCACCAGGCCTGGGAAGACGCAGCCAACACTGGGCTGGGAGTCCAGATCTGTGCACCTTCCTCTATCCTACACCCACCTGAGGACATCCCTGCCGGGACCACGATGAGGAGCTGGGCAGACCCACAGCAGCGAGCAGAGCCCGTGTCCTGGCAGCCCGAGCTGGGGAGGGCAGCGGCTGCACCAGAGCAGGATTTAGCTGTGACGAAGCCACGTGGCAGCGTAAGTGAAATTGGCATTTTCAATTTGTACTCTGACATGTCTCATTTGGGGCCCTGGCATCTCGGGAAGGCATCCAGCCTGCAGCTGTCCAAAACACTTATTTGCATCTCTCTGCCCCGGCTGCTTTTGAAAATTAGTTCTTCTGGGAGGTGGGGTGGAGGAAGAAGAATAGGGGGAGAGGGAGGGAGAGCATTAACTCTTCATGCACCAGCCCTAAGACAGCAAAAGGGCATTGCACAAGAGATGGTGTCCCTCTGGGAAAGGGCATTGTGCTGAAGATGCCGAGTTCTCACAGAGCTGGAGCAGAAGGCGAGGAGCGCGGGACTGTGCGAATGGAAGAGGGAGGCAGGAGCAGGACTTGTCGCCCCAGCTGGCATTCGTGGCATGGGATCACCACAGGAACACGAATATCGATGAAAAACGTGTCCTCAACAACTGCACGTCCATCAGCAGCCCCTCACCTGCCCGCAGCTTGGATGCTGTTAGTGGTCCCTGTAGGATGTCATTACTGGTCCCTATAGGATGTCAGAGCTGGAGCAGTGCCTTGGCTGTGTGCAGGCAAGAGCTGGGGGTGCAGGGGCTCAGGGTTCAGGCTCCTGGGATGCCGAGATCCATCAGCTCCCTCTCTAATGTCCAAAGCACCTCTTATTTTGGAGGAAGTTTTCACAAGGCCTCCTTAGAGCCGCTTTGGCCGCAGCAGGGGCGGGAAGGTGCCCTCTCCGCCCACAGGCACAGCATCCAGGTTGCAGCAGCCAAGCAGCCCCAAAGGCCCCACAGCTGGTAGGGATCAGGCAGGGGGATGCTTACAAGTCCCCCCATCCCATGGGATCCAGATAAAATCCCACAGCCAGCCAGCAGGTCCCATCAGGCTGGCTCCTCCCTGCTTCCAGCCAACACAGCGCTAAACATCCATCGAACGCTTAACTGTTATTAACGTCTCAGTTAATCAATCGCTGTGGCTGGCGGGGAGCTGGGATGAGGCACAGGAGGGGCGAGGAGGCCAGGGCGGGTGTGGGCAGGGGGATGCCCTACTCTCATCACCCCATCTCCCTGCTACCAGACCACCTCTCGCTTTACAAAGGCACCCAGGACCCCCTGGTTGTGCCCCAGGATGATGTGGCACGGCAGATGCAGCGAGACCAATTTATGGGAAACACAAGCAAACCAACGGCGCCCGAAAGAGGAGCGCCTTCATGCAGCACGGTCCACAGAAGGAGATGGGAGAAAAGGTGTCATGGAGTGAGTCAGAAAAAGAGATGTGAGAAGCTTGGCTCCATACCCAACCCGGCCATCCTTCCCATCCCACTTTGGAAGAGCCCACAAAGGCAAGTGTGGAACGGCTAACGGAGGATGTACCAGCCCCACCAACCTGGGTATGGCCATTCCCAGCACGGTCTCCTTCTGCAGGGATGTGGTGCAGGCAAGAGGACTCCACGCTAAACCTTTCTCAAGACTCTTCACCCAAAACCGATCTCAGGCACCTTCCCAAGTAACAGCCGACATCCTCACGTGCTCCTCACATCTCTGACTCTCACGCCCGCCCCATCCCCGTGCGGGGGATGCTCACCAGCCCCAAGGAAGGCAGTGGAGGGGCTGCTCCTCTGCCCACACATCCAAATTTCCCTTGCAGCCTGCCTCCCTCTCACAAGCACCACTCCCCTGGGCTGCATTTCTGGAGGAGCTCTCGGGCTGCAGCTGTGTCCTATTTTTCTGTAGTTGATGACCTCAACTCCTTCCCCGCGCTACGGGGACGGCAGTAATGTACATCGCGTCTCGCCAGGGCTCAACTGCAATTCATCATTATTTTATCTGCTGGAATTTAATTGGATCCTATCAAACTCTCCTGATACTCCCTTTTCACTTTAAACACTGCTGCAGGAAAGATAAATGTAGGCACCGCGAGGACGGAGAGCGCGGCTTTGCTGGCGAACGGTGCTGGGGTTGTGGGCTCCAGCCCCGCTCCCTCTCCATGGCTGGTTAATTAGAGATACATATACTGGAGGTGTGCGGCGCCCAGCACAGGGCATGTGGGTATGATTTATGTTCCTCTATAAATACACCCTCGGCCTAGTAAAATGCCGTCATCCCCGCAACAGCACAACTTGACGGCAACGCTTGGCCTCTCAGTCTGCATCTCCTTTTGCTCTTTGCACATAAATCTCCTCCTTTCCTCCCCCGTCACACGCGAGCTTCTCCAGCCGGCTTCCTCCTGCCCGAAATATGGCAGGGTGTAAAAGTGAGACCCTGAGAATATGTCAGGGCAACATCCGAGTTCCACCGCAATAGAAAAATACCTGGAAAAGGTAAACGGACCAAGTCTTGCCTGCCTTCCCAGCACCCCGGCCTCAGCATCCATGCCGGGTACCACCTCGCCAGCCCAAATTGCTCTGCACCCGTATCACTTTGTCACGGGAATAAGATGCTCCTGCATGAACATTCTGACCCGAGAGGGCCTGAAACGTGTGGGCAAGGGGGGCTGCCATGAGGAAGGAGTCAAAAGGGAGCCAGAGAGGTGACGCAGCTGCTCCTCACCACACGAAGCTGTGGTTAAAAGGGAAGGGAAGTAATTGAGGCATGAGGCTTAATTTAAAGTGCTGAGACAACAAACTCAAATGCTCGTGGAAAGGAGATCAGGGGTTCTTCCTATTTATACATT